GAGCGAGCCCTGGCGCCTCGCCTCACTCCAGGCTCTGCCAGATTCTATCCTGGACAGGAGCAGTAGCCTCATCCCTGCCCTGACCCCTGGGAGCCTGGGTTCCCCACGGACTGGATCGCTCTCTGAAAGGGGCGCGGCCCTCTTCCCCAGCCTGAATCGAAGCCCCGCCGGGCTGCCCCGGCTCAGCCCTGCGCCCTGGGCGGTCGCTGACGCCTCCTTTGCTCTCATGCCGGCAGGGCGCGGCGCGCCTGGTGGCCCAGGAGTGGTTTCGAGTGTCCAGCCAGCGGCGCTCCCAGGCGGAGCCCGTGGCCGGGGTGCTGCGAGGGCTGGCGCACCTGGGAGCCGAGCTGCTGGCGCACGTGGTGAACCTGGCGGACGGCAACGGGAACACAGCGCTGCACTACAGCGTGTCCCATGGGAACCTGGCCATCTCCAATCTGCTGCTGGATACGGGTCAGAGCTAAGGAAGGGAATGAGGGGGCCCCCGAGGAGGGAAGCAGACCCAGGCTGGGGAACGTTGGGGAGGAGTGGCCATTAGAGGGCGCACTGGCCCGCCCTCTGGTGATAAGGTTCACGGAGGATGGATTGCCCACCAAGGTCCCGCCGTCAAGCCCAGCTCTGTCCTGACCCTCCTCCCACTTTGCAAGGACAGGGAATACTGGGCTTTGGGATTAGTTACTTAATCTCACTGGCCTTGGTTTGCTCATTTGTGAAATGGGTATAGCAATTCCTGCCTCCCTGGGCAAGTTGCCAGGTACGTAGTGGGAGGTGTGGTCGCTGTGCCTTCTGTCACTTCACCCCAGTATTCAGTCTACGGAGGAGGTACTCATCGGTTAGAACCCCGACTGCCCTCTGGGTTGGAGCACCGGGCCCGCTGTCCCCCACTCACCTGCCCCCTGCTTGCTCACCCCTCTGCCTCAGCTCCTCCCCCCGTGGAGCCGAGATGCACGCTGGGTACATAGATATTTACTGAATTGGGAGGACCCCGACATGCAGAGACTTTCCTGTGGGACTGAGCCAGGAGCCTCCCTGGCCCCCCTCCCCCAGTGCCCTCCTTCAGATCCGCTGACCTCTGGGCCTGTCCTTGGAGGCCTCTCTCCTCACTGCAGGCTGGTCCCCCACCTACCATAGAGATCCCTCCCATCCCTGCAGGACTTGGTGACCTGGGGAAGGGCACAGCTGCCCAGGCCAGGACGGGGAGCTGGTGCTAGCCAGACAGGGATTGTGGATGAATCAAGTGCTTTTCCTGGGCACATCACCCCTTGGAGGGGGCTGGGGCTGCAGCTGGGGTGAGGCAGGCACCGGCTGCTGGGCTAGCATTGTGGTGCAGCAACTTAGGCTGTGGCTTGTAACAGAGTGCTAGTTTTGAGTACTGGATGCTCCACTTCTGATCCAGCTCCCCGCTAATGCGCCTGGGAAGGCCATGGCATGGGAGACCCAGAAGGAGTTCCTGCCTCCTGGCTGCAGCCTGGGAGCAGGCATCTGGGGAGTGAACAGCAGATGAAAGATCTCCAGCTCTTTGACTCTATCACTTGGCCTTTCGAATAAATAAATGATCTTCAAACATTTTTATTTGCAAGTCAGATAAAGACTTCCCAGCTGCTGGTTCACTCCCCAACAGCTGCGACTGAGCCCAGCTGAAGCCAGGAGCTGGAAACTCAAATCCACCTGGATCTCCCACATGGGTGCCAGCAGGGACCCAGGCACTTGAGCCATCACCTGCTGCCTCCCAGGGTTCACACGAGCAGGAAGCTGAAGTGGGAGCCGGGTTGTGGGCATCCCAAGCAGAGTCTTAACTGCTGAGCTAAACAAATGCTCACCCTTGTTCTCTGCGTCTCTCTGCCCCTACCTGCATGCTGTCATGGGAACCCAGCTCTGCCCCCCACCCACAGACCCCAAATCCTCTGGGCACTTCCCCTCCCCGTGTGTAGGTGCTGCTTCCTCTTCCTGGCCCTCGGAGCCAGCTCCCCTCTTCCCAGCCCACCTTGGCACCACTTGCCCTCACTCAGACCGGCACGGTCTCCACCCCTTCTCCTGGCTTCTTCCCTCTGCTTCCACTCACTCCTCGCTTCTGGAATCTCAGACCCTGGCCTGTTGCCTTTCTTTCCAAGCTGGCTGTCCAGGGTGGGCGGTCCCACTTGCACTGTAGGTGAGGGACCCTGGATTTTGTCCCCTGGGGCTTGCGGGACTCAGTGGGTTAAGGCCTCGAGGGACATCCTGTTCCTTGTTGAGGGTACTGAGCACGGGCTGTTCCTGCCACTTCCTCATGCAAGGCTGAGTTCTACTCATTCCTGGGACCTACTAGGGAGGAAGGGGGGAGAATGGGGTGGGCCACAAGAGCCAAGCCAGCAGCTTCACTCGGGTCTTCCTCGTGGGTGGCAGGAGCTCAGACTTGGGCCTTCTTTTCCCAGGCCATCAGCAGGAAGCTGGATGAACCATCACTCATATAGGATTCTGGGGTCACAGGCACTTTACCCGCTCCTTAACCATGTAGGCTCTTTCCTGGGTTTGTCTCTCTCTCTCCACAAAGCACACTGGATCAGGGCCCACCATAACGACCCTGTGTTAAGATGATCCTGTCTGCAAACATTGTTTCCAAGCGAGGTCTTGTTCAAGGGTGCTGGGGTGAGGACTTCTAAGGAACATCCTTGGCGCCTTGTGGGTCTTGGTGGACAGTGACCCGTGTTCCAGGAGCAATGGGGAAGCAGGCTTTTTAAAAAGATTTGAAAGGCAGAGTGACAGAACCCTCTGCGGGCTCACTCCCCAAATGCCTGCCAGCCAGCAGGTTTGGGCCAGGAACTTCATCCAGGTCACCCACTACCTTCCCAGGCACATTAGCAGGAAGCCTGACTGGCACAGAGCAGCAGGAATGCCAGCTGGCACTCTGACAAGGGGATGTGGGCACCCCATGGCCACAGGCCATTTCCCCAGTGGCGGTTCTGGCCATGAAAGCTGGGGTGGATTCCAGAGACCAGGGTAGGGGCTGGTGTTGAGTCCCAGCTGCCCCCCGAGTCCTGGGTGGAGTTCTTGACCCCTCCTGGCTGGCCCAGCCCCAGCTGTTGTGGCCATTTGAGGAGCAAACCAGTGGCTGGAAATCTGTCACTCTGTCTTTCAAATACAACCTTAAAGAGCAGGTGGAGGTGGCGACTTGGTGGGTGGGAGCCATGAAAACACTTGTTCATTCAGTGAACCAACGTTCACCGGGCACTTACTATGTGCGGGATATTGTTCTAAGTACTGAGAGATACAGCAGCGAGCAAACCAAGTCTGCCCAGCCTGAAACACCTAGAGTCTCAGAGGGCTTCCCTGAGGGGTTGAGGGAGAAGCCCTGTGGGCATTAAAGGAGAAGCCCTGCTGTTCTGCCTTGGAGGGAGCTAGGGGTGCCCGGCTCCTGGCTGACCGGCCACTTCCTCCCAGGGGTCTGTGAAGTCAACCGCCAGAACCGAGCCGGCTACTCGGCCCTCATGCTGGCTGCGCTCACCTCTGTGGGGCGGCCGGAGGACATGGCTGTGGTCCAGAGACTCTTCCGCATGGGGGATGTGAATGCCAAGGCCAGCCAGGTATGTGGACGCCCGTGCCCTGCTTGTGCGTTCAGGAGCGCCACCTCCCTAGTCTCCGTTCTGCCCTGAGTGCCCCTTCTTCCTCGTCCCCCAGACAGGGCAGACAGCCCTCATGCTGGCCATCAGCCACGGCCGCCAGGACACGGTGGCAGCCCTGCTGGAGTGTGGGGCGGACGTGAACGCGCAGGACGCAGACGGGGCCACGGCGCTGATGTGCGCCAGCGAGTATGGACGCCTGGACACTGTCCGGCTGCTGCTTGCCCAGCCAGGCTGCGACCCCGCCATCCTGGACAATGTGAGGCACCGCCACGGGGGTGCTGTGGGGCGGTGTCCAGGCGCGGGCTCAGGGACCTGACTGTCTAACTTTCTTCAGGAGGGCACCAGTGCCCTGGCCATAGCTCTGGAGGCCGAGCAGGATGAGGTGGCAGCCCTGCTCCATGCGCACCTGAGCTCAGGCCAGCCCAGTCCCCAGGTGAGCTGCGGTAGAGACCAACCCCCCCAGCTACACACCAGGCTTAGGGGAGGCCCGTCTCCCAGGGCTGCAGACAGGGCTCCCTACCTGGCTGGCATTCCATGTTTAATCTGCACACCTTCAGGCCTAGGATCAGGCTGTAAACAGGGAAGTAGGCTGGCAAAGAGCGCCCACCTTTTGTGTGTGTGCATGGGTTCCTGCTACCTGCACCTGGGGAGACTCATGTCAAAGGAACCAGGAGCCCTTGGCCTGAGGTGGGCACAGGCTGGGTCAGAGGGAGGCGGCAGCAGGGGACAAGGGCAGTTCTGGGAGTTTGCCTGGGAGGGGAGGGGAGGGGTTCTCAGCTCTTCTACCTGAAGTCACCGAATCACCTGGTCCACTGGGTGGGCACCGGCCCCACTAGAGAGCTCCGGTACCTCCTGACCACAGAGGGGCGGAGGCGGGATGCAAACCAGGCAGCCAGGCTCTCGGCACAGGACGCCCCCCCCCACCAGGGACCACGGTGAGGGGCAAGCCCACAGGCAACAGCAGGACCCCTCCTCCCTCTCTCTAGAGCCAGTCTCCCCTGGACTCCCCCACGGCCACCCCTGGGGATAGAGGATGCGGTGACAGCGAAGGGGACCCCCAGCCTCAGTGAGCTGAGCTGGACCTGGGTGCAGGGAGCTCTCTCCCACCCCCAACCTCGCTCTGCAACGCAGCAGGGACCGAGGACCGATACAGCCCCGCTCTGCCCATTCCCCCACGTTCTTTCCCAATAAAACGTTGCTACGAGATGAGCCTGTTTTGTCTGCGGCAGGGCATGACAACACGTTAAGGTTGGTCCCCTGGCTGGGGAAGACCACAGCACTCCCCCCACCCCCACATCCAAGTTTGCAAAGCGCAGGGAAATGGTGACCCCACGGGGGACCCCCCCCCGAACAGTGGCCTAGTGAAACCCCAAACCACCCAGACAAGAGCTGAAGCTTAAACACAATACAAACGGTTTATTTAACAACGGCAGATCATCCCCTGCGCCAAGCCATCGGGACATCCGGGAACCCTGTAATAGAGCCGTTCGTGAGATGCTGACAGGCCCTCCAGCAACAGGCTGACCCCACCCCCGCCAGACCCTCTCACCCCTGGGCTTAGCGAAGCCCCCCCTACCCCCAGCGCAGAGGGTCCGCCGTGCACCCACCGGCGGCGGCATCAGCGCAGCCTCCGAGCCTCCCGCTCTGACTCCAGCAGGGTGAGCACGTCGCCCTCCCGCACGGGGCCTTTCACGTTGCGGATGATGGAGCGGCTCGTGTCGTCCATGAACTCCACGCGCACCTGCGAGCCCGCGGGGAGCACGGGGGAGGAAGCCGATTTGGAGTCAGAAAGGATAGGGGCTAGGACAGAGACGCTTCAAGGGGGGGTGCACATCTGAGCCCCAGGAATGAAAGGCACAGCTGTCGGACTCCCAGGAGGGTCCTCCCACTACCCACGCGGAAGGCTCTGGGCCACAGCCAGGTCCTCCGCCCGCCCCACGGAGGCTGAGTGCAGTCAGCGAGAGGGCTCGGAGCCGGCGGCTGACTCCACAGCCCCCGGGCCACGGGAGCGTCTATCACCGGGGCTCAGGCCGCGGGAAGCCATCCGGCCGTCCCCACCCGCTCACCTGCGTGCACTGTCCCTGAGAGCCGGTCCTGCCCAGCACCTTGGTGACCTAGAGGGAAGAAGCCGGGTCAGACTCGGCCCACCCGACTCCTCCGCCACCCTCCGTCCTTTCTCCGGCCCCAAACTCCCGCCTTCGCCTCACCCTGGCCAGTTTGATGGGCTGCACTCTACTCGTGTCCATGATGGCGGCTCGCGGCGGTCGGGCGGAGAGGAGTCACGTGCTTCGGGGACAGCTTTTATACGGCGCCCCAGCCCCGCCCATTCACACTCTCGCGAGATCACGCTGCGCCCTTCCCAGCAGCCCGCGCGGGGAAACGTCACCGGCGCCCTTCAGCGCGCTCGGAAGATGGCGTCTGCTACCCGGGTTATCCAGCGCCTGCGAAATTGGGCATCCGGGGTGCGCGGGACGGACAGGGCCCTTCTGGGGGGAGGGGGGGGGTGGGTGGAGCAGGCTATGGACTCCGCGCGTCCCGGGCCCGCTTCCGCTACTCACCTCCCTCCTAAACCGGGATCTTTCATTCAGCCCGGGGTCAGTTGGTGACCCCTGAAGCCCGGGATACACCTGCTCCGCTCCTGGCCCTTGACCCTCTCCCTGGCCCGGGACCCCGGCTTTTCTCCGCAGCGCCCATATCCCTGCCCCGACTGCCCGCCCCATGCCCTCCCGTTCATCTGTTCCTCCCGGAGTCATCCTTGCCCCTTCGCCCTCTCTCTCCCGGGAAGCCCTGCAGCCTGACCAGGTCCCTCTCCTCCTCCCACAGCAAGACCTGCAGGCGAAGCTGCAGCTGCGCTACCAGGAGATCGCCAAGCGGTGAGCAAGCCCCGCTCGCTGCCCAGCCTCCCGCCCCGGGCTTTCTCCTCCAAAAACAAAACCCGTGTCCCGCTAGACCCCTGGCGCGCCGGGCCGAGCCCCGCGGCAGGCTGCACAAGTTTGCCTTTAACCTTGCTGGTCTCTTCGTGGAGACGGCTGCTGGTGGAACAGCCAGGCCGGGCGTGCGTTCTGAATGGGGAATCATGAGTAGATCAGCAGCCCGAGCGGTTTGACGCTGCTCAGTTAATGTGTCGTCCTGGGAAGATACGAGGCCCAGAAGCTCAACGCTTTGCCTGAAGTTCCTTAAAAGGTGGAAAGTGACAGCTGGGGTTTGAACGCAGAAGTGTCCTGATTTTTTTTTTTTTTTTTCGAAGTGCTAAGGCTTTCTTGGGGATAGGGCATCCGTCAGAATGGAAGGGAGAGGGAGAGAGCGCCCAGTCACTTGGATGGACAGAGCCTGTGTGAGGACGATCACGGCAAAGGGAGTGGCTAAGTGCCTGGCCCTGGAGGCTGGACGACAGAGCCTGCAGGAGGAAGAAGTCACTGTGGGTGGAACTGGCTGACACACACGGGGTCAGAGGGGTGGTCGGCCGGGGCTGTGGCCAGTGGGTTAATGCCCTGACCTGCAGTGTCTGCATCCTATAAGGGCGCCGGTTCGCGGCGTCCCGGCTGCTCCACTTCTGATCCAGCTCCCTGCCTGGGAAAAGCAGCAGAGGGTGGCCCTAGTGTGTGGGACCCTGCTACCCGAGGTGGGAGACCTGGAGGAAGCTTCTGGCTACTGACTTCTTCCCAGCCGCAGTCGTTGCAGGCATGGGAGTGAACTAGTTAGTAGACGGAAGATGTTTCTCACTCAGTCGCGCTGCCTTTTTTTTTTTTTTTTTTTTTTAAGACAGGCAGAGTTAAACAGTGAGAGAGGGAGAGAGATAGAAAGGTCTTCCTTTTCCATTAGTTCACCCCACAAATGGCCGCCACGGCCGGTGGGCTGCGTGGATCCGAAGCCCGGAGCCAGGTGCTTCCTCCTGTTTTCCCATGCAGGTGCAGGGCCCAAGCACTTGGGCCATCCTCCACTGCACTCCCGGGCCACAGCAGAGAGCTGGCCTGGAAGAGGGGCAACCGGGACAGAATCCAGCGCTCCGACGGGGACTAGAACCCGGTGTGCCGGCGCCGCAGGCAGATGATTAGCCTAGTGAGCCACAGCGCTGGCCATTCGTCGCGCTGCCTTTCAATTTAATAAAAATAAGTAAACTTTTTTTTTTTAAACAGAATTGCTTTTTGCCTGTATAGCGGAAAATGGTTTTGTAAATGTTTTCATATTTTGAGGATGGTGGCGCCCTCTGGCGGTTCATTTTTGTCTCCCAGTTGCACACCTGGCTTTTTTTTTTTTTTTTTTTTACTTTCTCTAGGCCAGGGAGCAGAAAGATCTGAGCACGTGTACAGAGAGGCTCACAGGTGCATGACTTAAATGAATCATTTCTTTAGAAGGGTTTATTTATTTTAAAAGCATGGTGACAGAGATCAATCTGTCCACTGGTTCGCTCCCCAAATGGCTACAACATCTAGGGTTGAACTACACTGAAGCCAGGAGCTCCATCCATGTCTCTCACGCTGGTGGCAGTGGCCTAAGTAACTGGGTCCTCATCTGCTGCCTCCCAGGAACGTTAGCAGGAAACAGGATTGGAAATGGAGTAGCTGGGACTCAAACCAGCACTCCAACGTGGGATGCTGCCGGTGCAAGAACAACACCAGCTCCTGACTTTAACGTAATATGTTGCTTTCCACATTAAGGATTTTATTTTTTAAGATGTATTTATTTACTTGAAAGAGTAACAGAGAGAGAGCGAGAGACAGAGAGAGAGAGATCTTCCACCCATTGGTTCACTCCCCAAATGGCTGCAGTGGCTAGGGCTGGGTCAGACCGATGCCAGGAGCCAAGAGCTCTTCCAGGGGTGCAGGGGCCCAAGGACTTGCCCCATCCTCGGCTGCTTTCCCAGATGCATTAGCAGGGAGCTGGATCAGAAGTAGAGCAGCTGGGACTTGAACCAGCACCCATGTGGGATACCGGTGTTGCAGGCAGCTGCTTTACCCACTAGACCACAACACTGCCCCTCCCCCATTAAACATTTTAAAACATTCTTGAAATTATTATTTTATTTGAGAGGCAGACAGCATCTCCCATCTGCTAGCCTGAGTGCCCACAATAGGTGGGGCTGGGCCAGGCTGAAGCTGGGATCCGGGAACTCAGTCTGGGTCTGCATCTGGGTGACAGGGAGCCAAATGCTCTCTCCCAGAGTGCGCCTGAGCAGGAAGCTGGAATTGAGAGTGGAGCTGGGACTCGGATATGGGATGCAGGGGTCCCACATAGGTCTTAGCTGCCGGGCCAAATGCCTGTCCCTCGGCTCTCCCTCTCTGGGAAGCCCCTCTTTGTTTCTGAACGTAGCGTTTCCTTTTAAGGCCTCAGGCTTCTTGGTAAACTCAGCACAAGGTTTAGCCCCAGCAAGGACCAAGAGAGCTCTGTTCACCCCCTCTGGCTGCAGGGCCTGGATGTGTCACCGCGTGGTGGCAGGAAGTACAGAGCCCTGGCGGGCTCCAAGGACGAAGCGCTCTTTGTGAAATAAGCCTTGATCCTGGCAGGGTTCTGAAGAATTTCCGAGATAACAGGAAGCTCAGGGGTTCCGTAGCCTGGCCTTTGTGTGTGGGGGTGGGGGGGGGAGGGGGACGGCGGCTACTCAAAGATGGGCTAACTCAGAGGCCGCTGTACCTGTGTTTTTGCACTGTATGGTCAAAGCCCATACCATGGCCTTGCTCCCTACTGGGGGCCTCACATGGGTTCCTCCATAGTCACTGCCTCTGGGGCAGCTGGGGGCCTGGGCTTGTGTTACTTGCGCATCTGGAGCAGAGGCTGCCACTTGATCCCTCCCCCGCTTAGCTGTGATGGTGTCGCGGGGACACCCACGGCGGGGCCCTGAGGGCTCTGCCCTGTGTCAGTTTGCTTCAGTGCCGCTGGCTTTGTTTTCTAGCACCCAGCCTCCTCCCAAGCTCCCTGTGGGCCCCAGCCACAAGCTCTCCAACAACTACTACTGTACCCGCGACGGCCGCCGCGAAGCCGTACCCCCCTCCATCATCATGTCCTCTCAGAAGGCGCTGGAGCCAGGCAAGACCTCGGAGAGGTGAGGCCTCCACGTCGCTCGCCCAGAGCCGCCACGCAGCCCCGGAATCCTCCGTTCGTAGAAAGATGACTTTTTTTTTTTTTTTTTTTTTAAAGATTTCTCTATTTATTTGAAAGACGGAATAATGGAGAAAGAGGGAGAGACAGAGGTCTTCCATGCACTGGCTCACTCCCCAAAAGGCCACAATAGCCAGGGCTGGGCCAGGCTAAAGCCAGGAGCCAGGAATTCCTCTTGGTCTCCCTCATGGGTGGCAGGGGCCCAAGCTCTCAGGCCACTTTCTCTGCTTGCTGTCTTCACTCGCACATTGGCAGGGAGCCGGATCAGAAGTGGAGCAGCCTGGACACTCAAACTGGCACTGATATGGGATGCGGGTGTTGCAGGTGGTGGCTTAGCCCACTGCACCACAGCACCAGCCTCCAAGGTTACTTTTCAAGAGTCCATTACTGGGGCCAGCGCCGCGGCTCACTAGGCTAATCCTCTGCCTTGCGGCACCGGCACACCGGGTTCTAGTCCTGGTCAGGGCGCCGGATTCTGTCCCGGTTGCCCCTCTTCCAGGCCAGCTCTCTGCTGTGGCCAGGGAGTGCAGTGGAGGATGGCCCAAGTACTTAGGCCCTGCACCCCATGGGAGACCAGGATAAGTACCTGGCTCCTGCTATCGCATCAGCGCGGTGCGCCGGCCGCAGCGCGCCAGCCGCGGCGGCCATTGGAGGGTGAACCAACGGCAAAGGAAGACCTTTCTCTCTGTCTCTCTCTCTCACTGTCCACTCTGCCTGTCAAAAAAAAAAAAAAAAAAAAATCCATTACTGGAGCATCAGCAGCTGTCCAGACTGCAGGGGGCTTCTCAACCCAGAGGTCCTCTTTAAAAAAAAAAAAAATTTGCTTTCAATTTATTTGAAAGGCAGAGAGACGGAGATATTTCATTCACTGGCTCACTCCCCAAAAGCCCACAACAGCCAGGCCTGGGCCAGCCAAAGCCAGGAGCCAGGAACTCCAGCCAGGTCTCCCACATGGGTAGCAGGGACCTAAGTACTTAAGCCATCACCTGCTGCCTCCTAGGGTGCACATAGCAGGGAGCTGGATTGGAAGCAGAGGAGCCAAGACTCAACTAGGGATGCCGACATCCCAAATAATGATTCAAGCTGCTGGGCCAAGCGCCCCCCACCCCCAGAGCATATTTAATCCAGTCCTGCCCAGGGCAGGGCTCTCCCCTCAGCAAAGCAGCTAGAATCCTGGGGTCCCTCCAGGAGCCCTGAGAAAAACTCAAACAGTACTGCTTTGTATTATTCTCTCTCTTTTTTAAAGATTTTTTTTTATTTATTTGAGAGGAAAGAGCTATAGACAGAGGGAGAGACAGAGCATCTGCTGGTTCACTCTTCAAATGGCTGCAACGGCCGGGGCTGGGCCAATCAGGAGCCAGGAGCTTCCTCCAGGTCTCCCACGTGGGTACAGGGTCCCAAAGACTTGGGCCATCCTCTGCTGCTTTCCCAGGCCATAGCAGAGAGCTGGATTGGAAGTGGAGCAGTCGCAACTCGAACCAACACCCATATGGGATGTCAGTGCTGTGGGCAGTGGCTGTACCTGCTATGCCCCCGCACTGGCCCCCCGCCTTTTCTGTCTATAAAAACCAACCTCTTCTGCTCACTGGAACCTTCCTTCTATTCCATAGCTCCCATCCCACACTAGTGCACCTAGTTTTGATTCCCAGCTCTGGCTCCCGACTCCAGCTTCCTGCTAACAGACCCAGGGAGGCAGCAGTGATGGTCAAAGAACTGGGTTCCTGCCACCCACGGGAGAGGCTTGGGTTGAGTTCTTTCCTCCTGGCTTTGGCCTCAGTCCAGCCCAGCCACTGCTGGTTTAGACATTTGGGGAGTGAATCACTGGATGGAAGCTCCTTTGTGTCTCACAAATAATTATTTTATAAAGCAAATTAAGATCTTTAAAATGGGGCCGGCGCCGTGGCTCAATAGGCTAATCCTCCACCTTGCGGGGCCGGCACACCGGGTTCTAGTCCCGGTCGGGGCGCCGGATTCTGTCCCGGTTGCCCCTCTTCCAGGCCAGCTCTCTGCTATGGCCAGGGAGTGCAGTGGAGGATGGCCCAGGTGCTTGGGCCCTGCACCCCATGGGAGACCAGGAAAAGCACCTGGATCCTGGATCCTGCCATCGGATCAGCGCGGTGCGCCGGCTGCAGCGGCGGCCATTGGAGGGTGAACCAACGGCAAAAGGAAGACCTTTCTCTCTCTGTCTCTCTCTCTCACTGTCCACTCTGCCTGTCAAAAAAAAAAAAAAAATCTTTAAAATGGTTGTAATTTTGTCTTTAACTTAAAAAAAAGATTTTTTTAGGGGCCAGCGCTGTGGCGTACTGGGTAAAGCCACCGCCTGCAGTGCCAGCATCCCATATCGGCACTTGTTCAAGTCCCAGCTGCTCCACTTTCCATCCAGCTCCCTGCTACTGCACCTGGGAAAGCAGCGGAAGAGGGCTTAAGTGCTTGGGCTCCTGTACCCATGTGGGAGTTGGAAGAAGCTCTTGGCTCCTGGCTTCGAATCCACCCAGCTCCAACCATTGTGGCCATCTGGGGAGTGAACCAGTGGATGGAAGATTTCTCTCTCTCTCTCTGCCTCTGCTACTCTGTAACTCTGCCTTTTAAATAAATAAATATTTTTTTAAAGGAATGCAACCTTGCCAATATATTTTTTTTAAAAGATGCATTTATTTGAAACGCAGAGTTACAGAGAGAGAGGGAGAAATGAAGAGAGATCTTCCATTCACTGTTTACTCCTCAAATGGCTGCAATGGCTGGGGCTGGGCCGGGCCAAAACCAGGAGCCAGGAACTTTTTGGTCCTCCATGTGGGTGCAGGGGCTCAAGAACTTGGGCCATCCTCTGCTGCTTTCCCAAGTGCATTAGCAGGGAGCTGGGTCAGAAGTGGAGCTGCAGGGACATGAACCTGCACTCATATGGGATGCCAGCATTGCAGGTGGCACCCTTGTAGGGCATCCCAACCCCTGTCGGTGGTGAGTGCTGGTGCCCCAGGAACAGAGCAGTGACCAGCAGGGGGCGCTGCAAGTAAGCAGGAAGGGGCCTTGTCTAAACTGCAGGGTTGTGAGCTGGGGAGCCAGGGCTCAGCTCACAAGCACAGGCCACTGCACAGGGCTGGGGCTTCTGAGACCCTCGCCTCTGCCCTCCAGATCCGGGGTCTCAGCTCGAGTCTGTCCACAGGCTTCTCTGGCACCCTGGCCCTAACTGAAGCCCCTTTCCTCCCCCAGCGCCCCCGTGGCAGCCACGGAGAAGAAGGCAGTGACACCGGCTCCTCCCATGAGGAGGTGGGAGCTGTCTAAGGACCAACCCTACCTGTGACTGTACCTGTGGCGGCCGCCGACTGCTTCTCCTGCTTGGATTTTCTTCGGGGACAAAGTGACCTAATTTATGACAAATACATGGAGTTCCAATATTTCTTCTCTTTTTCTGTTTAAGATTTGTTTGTTTATTTGAAAGGCAGAGAGAGAGAGAGAGAGAGAGAGATCTTCCATTTGCAGAATGGAAATGCCTGCGACAGCTGGGGCTGGGTCAGGCTGAAGCCAGGAGCCTGGAACTCCATCCGGGTCTCCCATGTGCATGGCAGGGGCCCAGGCACCTGTGCCTCCCCGAATGCACATTAACAGGGAGGACTGAAGTGGAGCAGTCAGAACTTGGATGGGGGGCCCAGGCATCCTCAGCTGTGGCGGAACCTGGAGCACCACAGCGCCAGCTCCTCTTTTTACCTTTGAAGCAACACCCAGCTTCCTTGGCCTGTGGGTGAAGTTGGTGCTGAGTCAGAGCTCTAGGGGTGGGAGTGGGGTAGTGGTTCCTGACTTCCAGGGTGAAGGGTCAGGTGCCATGGGGCAGGGCCCCTGGAGACTGGCCTGTCCTGTCCCTGAGGGCCTGGCTCTGCCACTGAGAATGGTGGGAATTGGCAACCGCTCCTGGGAGGTTGAGGGCAGCAGGGCCAGCCATGAGCTGCTCACCTAGTGCCACTGCTCCGGTGAGCGGCCATCAGCAGCTTCCCACCGAGGCCAACCTGCCGCTCAGTAGACAGCAAGGGTGGCCCACCCGGTGCAGGTCGGGAGAGGCCTCCCTGCGCCAGAAACCACTGTGCTGGGGCCTGGGGTGAGGTGGAGTTAGGCCAGGGAGGAAGGGCCCCTGTGCAGCAGCGAGCAGGAGAAGTGCAAAGGAGACGGGCCAGGTCTCTGCACGGTCTGCACCACGCACAGCCTCGGCAGGGGCCCGGTCAGGCTGTGTCCCCGGAACACCTGTGCTCTGAGCGCTGTATGCTGTGAGACGGCCTGGGGAGGTCAGGAACTGCCCCAGGCAGCTGAGAGCCCCCTCTCAAACCTCTACACGCGGTCAGCTCAGCAAATGCACGCCTCCCAGGCCATCCTGTTTGCCGTGCTTTCTCTCCGCCCTGCCCCTGTGCACCCCTTCACGACCCCTTCACGCCTGAAGTGTACTACCGGGACAAAGAGGCACCCTGGAGAGACCTGCAGCCTCTGACACGTTCCAATAGCAAAGCCCTTTCCCGGTAAATCTGGGAGCTGAGTGCAGCCTCCTGGGGCCTGGGGAGGGGAGGTGCCCGACGCTGGCCCTTGGCAGTCTGGGGTCCTGCTGGCTGCCAAGGCAGAACTGTCGACGGGATCTTTAATTTCCCAAGGAAAACATTGCAGTCCCGGGTCTTTCTCCTGGGAGGACTGAATGAGGCTGTGGTCCAGGGGTGTGTGTGGGAGACCTACTCAGAGGGGACGGTCATAGGACCCAAAATTAAGAACTGGCCCATTCATTCATTCATTTGTTGACCAAAGAGTCGTTGAGAGTCTACTCTGTGCCAGGCCCTGGGGATACAACCCTGTGCTCCTGCAGCTGGCATCCTGGTGGGAAATCAAACAATAAAGCAACAAGCAGTTTGTAGGACTGGCGGCACAGAAGCTGCAGTCCTAGGGAGGGGATGGGGCGTGCCTGTGGGGAGAGGCTACCATATAACATAGGATCATTAGGCAATAAACTTTGTGGCAGTTTGCATGCGGAACGTGAAACGGCCCGAGTGCACATCGACAAGCATTTCCAGAAATTCCTGACTGCTTGCCAGCACCGTCCACTGCGACAGACCCTGTCACTGGGAAAAGTCGGGGAGGGCCTCAATTTTCTGTGTGCCCGTATATTCTAGTATTTACGGTACGCATAGCCACGAGCCACGGGCGCCGCGCGACTGAAGGGCCTGGGCCCCGCCCCTCGCCCGGCCGGCGCG